TGTTTTCTTTTTCAACTGATATTCATTGGTCGTTTGTTGAAGTGACAATGCTTGCACAGATCTAAGCAATCATTTCTGATATTCGATCTGAATTCATTGTTTGTTCAAGTGGCTCCCTTTTACGCAGAATGCCATCGTGCTGTGTCATCAAACTGTAAATTGTCTCATTATAACACACATAGGAGCTATCAGTTGTTATGGCTTGAGAAGATAAACACAAAGTGTATAGCTCGAAGTTTTTTCATGTGGAAAATCTAGTTATACTTTCTTTCTGTTTATTACACAGATTCCTACCTGGGGATCCTATGACGCTTGCCCATTTCTTCAACACGCGCAGAGTTTTCACTCATTTTTTGAGGGGTACAACTAAAACTGTCATAGGGCTGGGCAACTGAGTATCGACATGTCTCGTCTTGTGAGTTCTATTCACTATATATCTACGAATTCCATTTCAGATGAACGAAGAACAAGCATTTTGTACATTGGTAAAAATAATGTACGACTATCAACTGCGAGACTTGTTTAAATTGGGCTTTGATTCACTTCATTTGCGGTTTTACCAACTAACACGGTTACTAAAGGTGCATTCAGAATTCTTTGACAGTTATGATTTTCCAAATGACATCGTTCAGGAGTACGAAAGCAATCTAGCTGCACATCTTGAGCATATCGGCGTTGAAACGCATATGTACGCTTCGCAGTGGTTTCTCACTTTATTTACAGCAAAGTTTCCACTTCAAATGGTTTTCTTCATAGTTGATCTCTTTTTGAGTGAGGTTTGTGGAAATGTGCTTTCCTGCCAGTATTGTTCCTCAGCTGCTGTTTCAGGGAATGAACACGATATTCCATATATCTTTGGCATTATTGCATGATGCTGCTGCAGATTTGTTACAGCTGGATTTTGAGGGCGCATTGAAGTGAGTTTTTCGGTGCAGGTTATATTACATTTTTTTACTATTATTACTACGAAACGGAGTGATGTATTTAGTGTTGTCGTAAAAATGTCTTAAGCTAGATATATTTGTAGATATAATTATATTATAAAAATATTCTGATTTGTTTATTACTTATTCTTATTTTCGTATCCAGATACTTTCGCGTAACACTTCCCCGCAAATACCGCACAGAAACAAATGCAAAAGCGCTGATTCATCGAGCGGTGGAATTCAAAGTGAGTTATATGTAGTTCTCCTTTTTACCTCTCATTTTTTTTCATAACTCTTTTATGTTACGTTCGCCTACAAAGTGTTTAGGGTATCAAAAAACTTCCATCGCTTTTCATTTTCTAATCTTCGACTACATTGCGTTTCATTCTGCTTAGTTAATAAAACGCTGACGCTGTTGACACAAATGCTATTGCGCTAAGGTTCTTTGTCGAAGCATCAGTTTGTTGAATGTTGCAGTGGTGTAGCTTGTCTGAGAATGTGTTACATCCGCGTTTTCTTCTGTATTCAGAACGTTTCTCTTGAAGAAAAGCCAATACTATTTTGCGCAGATGACGATGACCTTGTTTTTCAAAAAATGTTTCGTTTTTCGGACCTTAGTTTCAAACCAGCGTTCCTCCTTCACTGAAGCTAAATCGGAAACTGCACCAGCATACGCAATATTAGTATTGTGGAAAATACTCACATGTTGCATGTTTCTTCTTACTTGAAGCGAGAGCTCTGCTGTTTATTTAAGCTGTGCCTAACAGAAATTCGCCGAATTTCGTAGCACATCGTTTCTTGTACACATCTTACAGAAATTCGTGCGGCATCGATTAGCAAAAATTGCATAGATTTCCTCCTTTCTATAATTACTGCAAACTCCGTTCAAGTGTCTCGTGTTTCGATCGCATAATCCTTAGTCAACTCAGCAAACAATCAGAAACATGTATATTTTCAAGTGTGATTGCTTAAAATCTCGTTGCA